CGCGGCAGCACTCTTGTCCACCCGATGCGACAGCTCTCGTCGGAAAACCCATCGCCGGATGAACACGACGCTGATGCTGACGGTGCTCAGGTCCCCCAGCAACATCAGGACGAACAACACGCTCTGCTGGTACCCGTTGATGGAGTTGAGATTGACAGGGTTGAGACCTGTCGTGGTCATGGCACTCGTTGCCAGGAAAAGCGCGTCGACGTAGCGCATGCGGTAGTTTCCGGGCGCATCCTCGGGTCCCCTATTCGAGCCATATAAGACGACGGAGCAGATGATTATAGTGAAGACGAAGTAGGTCAGATGGCACCGATAGAAGTTGAGTCTGAACAGACGTCGCCGGTGCGCGTTCGTGTGCTTCACCGCCGATTTCAAACGAGAGGTGGCATTTTCGCGGGGGGCCGGCGTCATCTTGCTTCAATGCGAGGTTCGTAGTTGATGAAGCTTAACCATGAAGGGAGGCCCGAAGAGAAACACGAGCAATCCTTGTCCTGATGACATCAGCTTCCCGTCAGACGTAAAAGCCACGGACCATGCGGGAATCGCATCAAGCCCGGGCCATCTTCTGAAATCCTGTCTTTATATCCATCTGCGTTGATGGCTATAGCTGAGATACCGTTCGTCGAGCATGTAACTATTGCTTTACCCTTTCATCGTACGGATACCTTGAGAAGGATTAGCTCCTTTGATCTGAGGCCGACGTCTGTTGACTTTTACTTTTTTTATATTGGTGTTATTATCGCTAAGTGGGCGTGTAGTGGCCAATTGAGCATGGTGACCCCTAACTCAGGTTTCTGATCCGAATTCACGCCGCCCATGGTATAATTGAATACATCAAAAGTTCCAAATCCCACCGTTAATAGCCTTATCGCCGTGTCCTTCGGCCGTGATTTTCGCCTCTGTACTTCTTCGCCTTTCCAGATCGCGATGACTGACATATGCTTATCTTATGCCCATGCATCTACCTCCCGGTGCCACTCCAGATCCAGATGCCAGCCAGCCAGATCAGGGGGTAGCAGCAGTATCAATTTCTGCCGGCGGGGAGGTAGGCAACGCTGGTATGGCGGACTCGTCGGGGCCCCAGTCGACCAAGCTGACGCCCTTGCCCTTGGACTCCATGATGCACTCGAGCTTGTCCTCGTTGGTGACCCAGCCGTGGCGGCGGGTAGCGACAGCATAGTTGATGGGGTCGCGCCACTCCTCCCACCAGGCGCGCTCGCTCATGATGGCGCAGCGGCGGCCGGGCTCGCCGTGGCGGCGGTCGGCGAACGGCCAGACCGCGCGGACGACCTCGTAGCGCGCCTTGCGGCTGAAGAGCGTCGTGACCGAGGCGACGAACTTGTTGCTCCGCGGCGGGCTGTGCACCGTGACCCGCGCGTGCGTGACCGGGAACGCCACCGACACCACGCCCCGGTAGCCGGTCGACGCCACCAGCGACCGGAACTGCAGCTCCAGCCACTCGGTGTCCAGGTTGGCCACCACCCGCTCCATGGTGAAGCTCTTGACCGGCGCCGCGTCCTCCACGAACCGCTGGCACCACGCCTCCACGCTGCCCCCGGCCCCGAGGTCCGGCTCCAGCGCCGGCTCGGGCGCCCCGCGGTACGCCAGCTCGTCGCTCCCCACGCAGCGCAGGTACTCCATCCGGTCCTGCGCCTTCTCCGGCACCAGGAGGTGGAGCAGGCTCAGGCGGATGCTGAAGTCGGTCTTGCGGTTGCGGCCGCCCTGGACGAGCACCTGTACCTTGGGGGGCACGGTGGACAGGCTCCGGAGCTGGGCGGCCAGGGCCTGGGCGCTGGTGGAAAGGTAGGTGGCCTTGCTGGTGATGGTGGTGGTGTCGGGGGAGAGCTCGAACAGAGGCGGCGAGTATTGGTGGTAGTCCAAGGTCGGGAGGCCCGGGTGAGACTGAGGGCCTTTGGGGACGGATCGCCGGTGCTCGGGTGGCTCCAAAGACTCTATAGACGGACTGGAGTATGGCGGAGGCCGGAACGGACGCGTCTCCGGGTTGCCATCCTCTGCCGGGCGTTCTATCGGGGCCAAGACACCACCGGCCGGAAGTTCTGCCACAAATCCTGTCGGCGGCGGCGGCGGTGGCGTCATGGATGGGCTGGGGAACCCATTTCCCAAGGATGTCGACGACGAGGCAGCAGGTCCAATTGCGCCGCTCGATGATGTCCTGGATGATCCGGAACCGACCGGTCGCCGGGGAAAGGAACCGTTGAACTTTGCGATTTTATCGACGATGATGGAGGAACGCTCTGCCATTTCAAACGAGGCCCTGCTCCGGCTATTACAGTACCACGATGAGGCAAGTGTGATGACAACGGTTCACGAGGATGAAGCCAAGGTAAGCAAGCAGAGAAGTCGACCCTTTCTCTCTCCCATGAGGTAGCTACTTCTACTTACCTCCATCACCCCTGGCGGACAGGCGCAGGCAGCCATATTTTCGGTAACCTCGTACCGGGGGGGAGGGCGGCAGCTGAGAAGGATGCGTTGTGCCATTTGGCTCAGCCCGCTCATCGTCTGTCTGTGGCTCTGTTGCAGGGCTGAGCAGGCACCAAAATTCGAGCAAGTGGCGCAGCTTTCAGTCCACAGGTAAGTGTTTATTAGCGGCCCGTCCGCCGCCCTACCCCAACCCAACCTTATTCCCGGGGCAAAGATCAGCGCACTGCGATCCTGCATACAACCACCACCCGCCATCTCATTAGTTACGGATATGGAAGGCAGCCAGACAGGTACAACAAGGCACCCGGCGGGCGAGGAGCGTGGGGTTGAATGATACGTAAGTGAAGTTGCAAGACTACCACAAGGTACACGATCTTCTGGAAAGCCACCGTGGGGTCATACCGAGCGTCGACCTCCTCTAAAACCCGCGATACTACTCATGACTACACGCAATTAAGCGCCCGTACTTCGCGTTAAGCTGGAAGAGCGCGCCTCCATCCACGGTACAGAGCCCAACACGACGGTGCTATTTCCGGCGCCCGCTGGAACGCTGAGCGCATCGTCGTCCGCGTGCCGCTGAACCACGACGATCGAACCCGCGGGTAGAGGGTCTGGGTCGCCGCGCGGGGCACGTCATCTGCAACGGAATATCGTACCATGTACCAGGTCCATTGGGTTGGAGCGGCTCTTGGTCCTGGTTCATCATTATAGACCTTGAGAAGTACGATTAGGGGCGAGAACATGAGTACTCATGCTTTGAGGGGTACTTCTATCAGGGAAAGCCATTATTAGCACACATCGGCATTCCCGGGCTCATAAACTCTTTAACAGCTATCGTTCACGCTGTATACCAAGCAGTTGACCGTCTGATCTCCCTGATAATCAGACTATCTATCTAGTCTCCAAGACAACTCGATAGGTAAGGTACCTAGCAACAGGGGCGTGCTCCCCCTAAGCTACCATTCTATGTGCCGGTGAATATATATATATATATATGCAGGCATGACCAACGCGATGCCAGCCCTCTCTCTCTCTCTCTCTCCCCAGCACAAGAAGTACATATCTATCACCCACGCGCGCGAGCACTCCTCCGCAAAGGCCAAGTCGACCTACCTACCTACCTACCTACCTACCCCCCTACCCCCCTACCCCCCTACCCCCCTACTCCGCCCCATCCCTCCACCGCATGAAAACATTCGACGGGCCCTCCCTGTCCCGCAAATCCTCATCGAGCGCGTAGACGACCTCGCCGCCGCCGCCCTCCTCCTCCTCGCGGAACCCGAGCTTGGCGTAGACGCCGCGTCCCATGACGCTGGCCTCGCAGGTAGCCTCCCGCAAGCCCCGGCGCCGCGCCTCGCGCAGCCCCCAGCCCACCAGCGCCGACGCCGCCCCGCGCCGCTGGGCCGCCGGGTCCACGGCGCACAGCTCCAGGACGAAGACCGCCGCGTCCGCGTCCTCGCCCTCGCCCTGGTCCTGGTCCCGCTTCGCGCCGAGGTTCTCCAGGCGCCGCGCCAGCAGCGACGCCAGCGCCTGCTGCGCGAAGCGCCTCTCGCGGTCCTGCGCCGCGTCGGCGGCCGCGTCCGGGTACAGGTCGCCGGGCAGCGCGGCCGAGGGCGGGTCGCCCCGGCCGGGCGCGTACGAGAGCTGCGACCAGATGGCGAAGCCGGCCATGGTGGTCTTCTTTTCTTCCCCGCTAGCATCTGCGTTGCCGGAGGAGGGGGAGGGGGAGGAGGGCAAGGTGGCCTTCAGCATGACCACGTTCGGGTCGCCGCGGTGGTTGGTCGTGACGGCGCGCAGCCGGTCGGCGAGGCGCGCCGCGCCCGCCGCCTCGCCCGCCGCCGTGTCCCAGCCCGGGTTCGTGGCCCGCCAGAGGGTGTCGGCGGTCTGGCGGCCGAAGGCGTTGGCCGTGATGCGGAAGGCGGCGGTCAGGTCCGCGGGGTCCGTGATGGGTTCCACGGCGAGGGGTGGTTGGCTGGGGTCGGGAGACATTGTGGGATGTGATGGTGGTGGTGGTGGTGGTGTAAGGTACCGGTATACCGAAGAGGATCGCACTGAGGTACAGACAATAAGGTATGTACTCGAGTTAGACGGGTGGTCTGCGGGCGGGGTGAGATCGTCGGATGAGTTTCGCGACGCATCCGTGAATGCGAGGGGAAGGTAGTAGTAGTAGGTGAGTTGCACGCAGGGGTTTGCATATTCTAAGTAGAGCTATACCTAATGCGAAGCCGATGCCTTCGCCCGGGTCTTGGCCGGCGTCCGAGGTCGGTCCAGCCCGAATGACCGGGGCCGAGATGGCTTGGTGTGCGCGGCGGGCTTGGTGTCCTCTCCGACGGCAGCGACGACATTGCGGCACCCGGAACTCTGGCTACCCTACGTCAGCATCCCAAAAAAGGAAGATGGAAGCAAGGGGAAAAGCCAGGGAAGAGAAGCACAAAGAGGGAAAAAGAATGGTTTATAGCCTCTTTTTCAGAGACGCATCAGGAATTGAGCCCGATGCGGGGGTCGAACCTGGGGTGTGATGTCAGTACAAGTGAACAGGATGGGAATCGAACAGATTCATATATGAATGAACTTACCCGCAACCTTGAGATTAAGAGTCTCACGCTCTACCGATTGAGCTAACCGGGCCAGAGCTGTTTGAATTGTTGGAAGGTGCGGATTCGTAAATTTGTTCAAGTAGCTTAGCTTGTAAGTTGTGTGGTGGAGCCCGGCGAACTAGGTACTTACTTGGTAGAGGTTACCTAATGGGGCTTGGAGTTTTTCCTCGCGGTCGGCCACAACGCCAGGTACTTTATCTAGGTAGTTCTTCGATATCCCTGTCATTTTCAAGGAAAATTCAAGCGCCGAAAGAACAAACAGAAGATTGATTTTTCAATGTGATACGTAGTCGCCGAGGAGTTGGTGTAGTCTTGTGGCTGATGAGTGTCACCGTCTATCCAGAGCATTCGGAACCATCAGGTATCTTCAATAAGCTTCTCAGTGCGTTAGATTATATTAACTAAGTAATAAGGAGTGTGTGTGTGTGTGTGTCATGTCTCGATGCCAGTCCAGACTCCAGTGTCCTTCCCCTCTTGCGCCCTCCGCAAGTTGAACTCCTAATATTTTCCCATTACCAAATGATGATCCCAAACCCCATTAATTATGCCGACCAAGTACACTTTTCCCAGTCCAAATTATCGAGCCTTTCTCCCGCCGGTATGGGCAGGCAGGCAGTCAGTCAGCAGCATCAGCATCCAGCATCAGCGCAATCTTCATCTCAGGCCCTTTAAGCGAAGGCATTGGCGACGACGTCGGAGCAGTCGGTGAGGGAAGCGGCGTCGACGCCGAGGGTGGCCAGCTTGGTCATGGCCGGCACGAAGGCGGCCTGCCAGGTGGAGCGGGTCTCCATGCTGGCCCAGGTAGCCTTGGTGTCGGTGGAGTTGGAGAGGAAGCGGTCCGAGTCCAGGCTGGCCGGCGCCGAGTTGTCGGCCGTCTCGGTGTAGAAGGTGGTGTCGAGGTCGCCGACGGTGCTGTCCAGCGCCGCGCCGTTCTTGTCCTTGCCGACGCTGTGCGCGCCCAGCAGCGCGATCAGCTCCTTGGCCGTGAAGCCCCGGGCCTTGAAGGCCGCCGTCGTCGACGCCGCGTCGTCCGTCCCCGTCGGCATCTGGCCCGTCGGGCTCGCCGTCTTGTTGTCGACGCGGCCGGCGCTGAAGGGGATGGTTAGGCCGTCTTGGCAGGCCAAGAGACCGAGAGCTGGGATTCATCGTTAGTGCGTTGTTACTTGCAGTCGCATGTGAGATGTAGGAATGGACTCACCGGTACCGAACTGGATCAGATCCGCAGTGCCGACATCAAACTGGGAGGTGGTGTCACGGAACGTGGCGCAGATGGGCTGCATCTGGGTGTTCTCGACCCGGTCCTCGCACTCGTTGGCGAGGATCATGGAGCCGTCGCAGGAGGAGGGGAAGCAGTCGTGGAAAGAGAGGCGGATGGCCTGGCGCGCGGCGTCGGTGCAGCTGCCGTCGGTGCCGCGGAACTGGCCTGCCAGGTTGGTGGCAACCTTGGTCCAGACGGCGGGACACTGCGCGGCGGTCTGGGTAGCCGCGAGGGTGGCGAGGAAGAGGGTGTAGCTGGTGATCTGCATTTTGGTGGTGGGGGGTATGGGTGTTGAGGGTTGGTTGTGAAGGCTTCAGACTCGGAAGAAGGGGTAGATCGTGATTAAGATTAAGTAGATATTAGAAGTATGGTGTAGAAACTGTAAACAGTAACGCCCAAGGTACCTGACCTTGAGGTAGAGAAGATGGAAGAAGCCGGAGAAGGGTTGCTGAAGCTGAAGCTGATGCTGGTGCTGAACTTCATTTCCCACCGGAGGGCGAGGTCTCTGGCATACTTATACAGATCTTGACTTCGCTCTGGCAACGACATCTCGACCCCTTCAACATGGGATTTTGATGGAGTCCGTGAAGAAATTCGTGTTGTCGAGATCCCTGAAACACGTTCGAGTGCTATGTTGTCGCTCCCACGATACAAGGAGGCCAACATGGTTGCAGGCGATCAGACTCGAGATGGAGGTGACAGGCCGGAGACCCTGCGTGCGATCAGGCCAAGGAGTGGCAGTCAAAGGACAAGCCCACTCACGGGTGGGATGGGAAACTGTAGACCCGTGCTCCTTGAGGCTGAGCCTCTGTTTTGCCAACCTTGCTTCTTACCATTTGGGGAATTCTGTCAATCTGTCTTTTGCCCCGTGTAGTGTACCCCAGTGTCTTCAGAAGCTTGTCTGTCCTGAGGCCCACGGCTGGCATCTGGGTCGTCTTCGATGGGGACTTTGGTAGTATCACCGCTCAAAGTAACGTTCTGCACCGCGCTCGAGAGCACAAGCGCGCTGAATAGGAGGAGCCTGGTCAGCTGTTTTTTTTCCTTGACAGCCTACCCCGGATATTTTGGTGGGTCCTCACCTTGGGTCCTCACCTGAAGTTCAACCATCGTCAATATCACACTCTTCTGTCACTTCAATACACTCGGGCGAGAGAGTACGAACGCGGCGGCAGCGGCAGCGGCAGTGGCAACAACCGCCAAACCGACATGGACCCCGACTCGGATTCCACTTGAAGTCGTTTTATTTTCCGCCTGACACGTTTTGTCGGCCAATGAGGCCGTCGAGGATAAGCCAGTTCGGCGGGTCAAATATGGGCAGGGCCAGTAGGTCGTGCGTCTGTGCTTGCGTGCGGCGAATGCGGCGGTCGTGGCTCTGAGGATCGTCGCCCGAACCAATTTGCCAATCCCGACTTCCGCGTCCCGTATGTAGTCCAGCAGCCAAGCAGAGGCCAAGTAGAGAACTGACGCGGGTCAAAGCTGGGCAGGATCTTGCGTGCGCTCGGGGACGAACGAGGGTTTGGTTCTCTGACAGGCCAAATTGTTACAAACCCCCCTCCATCCTTGGGCCTCTGGTCTTCGCAGTGCGCACACTTTCTCAGTGAGCTGGACGCTCGGTCCGCGTGCGCTGAACGTCCCGGCTACCTGGGGTAAGGTAGGCGACGATCGCAGCACCGGGTTTTACGGGCTCTTGGTCGGAGTGGGTGTGCGCGCGCTCTCCCGCAAACCCGCCGCTCGCGCCGCATCGTCGTCGTCCAGAAAGGCGTCTTCTTTGGTTCGGTTCAGGTGGGAGAAACAACCGAAACGAAACGAACGAAGTACGAATCACTTACGACGCAGTTGCCATTTTCAAAGAATGTGGTGTCCCTCTCACATGGGCCTTTCTTCGTTGGAACGTACCACTGCTGCGATACTTCGACTCAACCAACGGTCCTGCTTGTGTCTTCTGTCTATACTTCGTAGTAGGTATGAAGTTGCGAACTCGGGTGACTCGTAAAAATCCCACCCGAACACAGCCACGGCCGAGATAGGACGAGGAACGTGCTCGGCCACGCGGATTTTGTTTCCTCGACCACGAATTGCTGTCCCAAGAACCGAAATCTTCTCGGAACTCCCCTGCTAATAAGATGCGCTTCTATGATGTGGTAGATCAGACCGGTTAAACCTCGCCAGATCGAGTGACTGAGGTTCCGAGCTGGTGCAGGTCGAGCATCGTGGGAGAAATGGCTGGGAATGGGCCGTGTAAGCGGCAAATCGCCTTGTGGTGATTCGATATCGAAGAACACGCGCAGCCCGTGTGCCATTCTGGCTGGAGATCTCCGTGGCTGTCGTTTCAGGACACCTGAGGTGAACTTCTCTGGGCTGTCTGGGTTACGAGGACGTAGCTGGAGTTGGTAAAGATCTACCAACGATGGTGTTGTTTGGTGCCGCTCTCCCTGTCCCTGTACTCGTTGGTCCTTGCGTCGTAGAATTCCTGGGCGTGGCAGCCAGGCAGCCAGGGTGTCGGACTGTTTTTTTCGCTTACGAGTGCCGGCAGCACCCTGTCTTTGCCTGTGAATTCTGGTATCGGACAGCAGTCGGTGGGTCGTCAGGCCTGAATCCTTGCATTGCCCAGGGACTGAGCGCACCAGGTACACCGGGTCGATGAGAGTAATAACTGGCGCAAAGTAATCCGACAAGCTTCATTCGCCGACTTTTCTTTGCCAAGGGGTGCCTAGGCGCGGCACGTATCACGCTCGAAAGAGCACTGGAGGTGAGACTGAGGACTCGTCGAGTAGCTACAATCATCTTCTGCGGTGGGAGGGACTGGGAGCTGTCAAGTAGCAGAGGGAGTATCGCGTAAGACGCTTTTGTGTCTGCTACCCCAGCCTGTGGTTTCAAAAGGAGGGACGGAGGCTAGAGTACGGATAGGGACACCATCTGAAGCTATTATCTGATGGCATGCTCCTGTTGAAGCTTTGTGCCCTTATTGATCTTCACGGACTCCGCAGAGACCCGCAACCGTCGGAACCTACCACGATCACAAGCCTGTGGTAACAACAGAAGGACTGGAACTGCGTGTTTGAGTGCTTTTGATTCACATCAGATCAACTGGTTAAGGGAGTTCACAAGCCTTGGTACTTGTCGACATGTAGACCAAGGTTCCCTCCCAGCTGCCTCCGTGACAGGTGACGCGTCGAGTTATGAAAGATATTGAGAATTATACATCTGTCCATCAGCGCGAGTCCTATACGTACCCAGAGTTACCCGCCTCGGGCCGGGTGTTGTGAACAAGCTCAGGTCAGAAACCTGGTTTCAGAAGTAGTACGGAAGTTATATGTGGAGAAAACCTTTGTCAGTTGGCTCACGATATTCAACCACGGAGAATCTTCCGCGACTTAGGGGCGATCTTTCAATTTCACAGCCCGTGCGAGAAATTGGATGGCTTTGCTGAAGTCAAGGGAATCAACAGACAATTCCCTTTCCCTTAACATGGAACCAGATGACGGGCAGGACCAAGTTCGCTGTTTGGTGAACCCTATGGATGCTGCCCCTTGAAGAACAGCACTGGGATCCTCTCAATTCGATAGTGGCGGATTCAGGACATATCTTGCACTTGCAGGCCAGCCTGAAAGATCCATTGGAGAACAGCGAATGGGTCGCGCAATCCTCTGAATGGCGGCAGAGGGCCAACGTTTACTGGACATGCCGTGTTCTGCGAACCGCCAGTGGACAAGGGGTGTTCGAGGTGGGTCACTTTCCGTTGCAGGCTCCGGCATCGAGTTGATCAATGTACT